CGTTTCGGCTGTGAAGCTTTCACACACCTGAAGAAGGCTTCACGGCCGAAACGTTGTGTTTTCTTTCTTCTTTTTTTCAGCATGGAATAAAACTTTTACTTGTTCTTTTGCAGCCTACGCATGCTGACGCAGCTACCCACCTGAACTACTACATCCTTAAACCTATTACTATATTTAAGGATGCCCTAGTATTTATTCATCCTTCCTCACAGTTTCTGGGTCCTGGGTTCAATTCTATGTTTAGTATTTATTCTGTGTTCATGTGGGTTTTCATCAGATCTTCCAATGGCTTCCCACCTCCCAAAACATGTCCTGGCTTACTTCGATTGCCTGTCCTGTACTCTCCCTTTCTCAGGGACCACATGATGGATGGGTGTCCTGTCCAGAGCGAGAGTAGTTTTGTGTTTTCAGCCCTGCCTTACACCCTATTCTTTGAACCTTGCCAAAAAGCAGCTTTCTGATTAGGGATTTAAAGGCTTTTAATTGGTCCTTTCCTCATTATGTGTGTAAATATTTATCTTAGAGTATGGAACAATAAACATTTCATAGTATAGAAATAGATACAGAAGTCCTAGAAGAAGTAATATGCACCACAGTCTCCATTCCTTACCCCCGTAGTATATAATGTAAAGGAGATGCCTGACGTCTCTGTGATTGATAGTCTCATTTCCAGGTCACAGTAGTGTTGTGAAAGGTTTAAGTAGGAGAGAAGTGAGCTAGCCAGATGTACTCATCATGATTTAGAATAAAATGTGTACAAAAAAATATGCATATGCAAAAATATGCATAATATCAACTATAATGTGAACAATTTCTCTATTAAAAATGTTTCTGTTGCTTTCTGTGGTTCACCTCAATACTGCCAATGAGGTATAAAACAATCATACTCTCAGTTGAAACATTCAGCTTCGGAAATCGGTCATACTGTATAGCCACAAATGTGTACTTATTTAGAGGTATGAAATAAAGGTATTAATCCATCTATATTATATAAATACAGGGAGACATTAGTTGTGGAACAATACTGGACTTAATAGTTGTTAGGTGTTTTAGATGTTTCTTATTATACATAAGGAAAAATAATCTACATGAAGAATATAGAATGGTAAGTGCTTGAAGGAGACTTGGTTAATTCTATATGTATTATATGTATTCTATCTTGTTGCCTTTGAATTTCATTTTAATAGGATTACCATTGGCTCTTGAAAGTACATTTTTGTCATAACATTCCTCGTTTTTTTGCAAAATGTGCAAAACTTTGCTTAAATTCCTATATTTCTTTAATGTAACTAAACGATAGGCCACCAACTAAACAACATATTACATTTCCAAAATATTGATGTTATCTAGTTCTTTGTAAGATCATCTCGTTAAGACAGCACAAGTTAATAATAAAGTAGTACCTTTCACAGATATATCAAATATATTGTGGGCAGGCTTTTTGTTAAAACATCTCGTTCCTGTGCTGTAATTAAAAAAAACTAACAAAATGCTTACCAATTTCTCTCTACATAATGTGGTCTTGTAGTTTAGAAAACACCTCCAGCTGAAGGATGTTAGAAAACACCTTTTACTCACTAGCAAACAAGACAGATAGATTCCACAGGCAGTGGTAGGCAGAGATAAGAATGTTGTAAGGCTTTTTTTTCTACATACTCTTTGCTAGGAAGCTTTTATCAGAGATACAAGGCCCATGATGTCTTTTCTGTTTCCCTTGTACTGTATACTTGTGCATCACTTACAGATAATGTGTACTTGGAGTTACAATATAGCTTGATTTACGAAAGATTAAGCTTTGAGTAAGAGCAGAAGCTCACACAGATATATTACACTGGTGTTTGATGACCGTGGCACTGGAATTATCTTATTGTCCCAGGATCATCTGTGAATCAAGCCCTTTAATCATGAAACATCATCATAAGTGAGCAGAAAGAAGAATAAAATGTTTCTTATCTGCATACCCAGAAAAAATCCAAGTGTTCTTTCACTTGTTTGAAGTGGCCAAAGTAAAATTTCCCCTGTGTAATTAATACTGCCAGCGTCAGAATTTCTGATGTGATGTGTTTTCTCTCCTGAGTTTTTATATTGCCCTGTTTTCAATGTGTTTCCCTCTTCTCCAGAATAGAGGGGTGTTTCATGCATTTCTGTAAATAACTGCTGACAGGTAATTCAGGCTCTGCATGAAAACTCTACATATCAAACGATTTGCTGCTTGATTCATGTTTATTTCATTTGTGTTGTGTGGAAGATAGATAGCTCCTGACAAGAGTGTGCACCCCCCTCCCCAACACAAACACACTCTTTCTTTCAGTGAGACCAGTCAGTCAGAAGAAAAGTGGGAATATGGATGGAGGTCTTGAAACTTAATAGAAACCATTACAGCTGGCAACTAAACACTGAGTTCAATAGAGACCCCACTTAGGATAACAGCTCTGGGTATTCTAATGGAATGTGCAATAGAGCAGAGATTGTGTATTTTAGTAAAGACAATGATTGTTTTTGGCTACATTTCTAGTTGTAGCTTTAGTATCAAATGCCTGGTAACCCAACAGAAATGTATATATACAGTATATATATATACATCATGTTTTACTGACCCACATACGTTTTATTTTATTTATTTTATTTTATTCATGGAATACTGCATTTATTCTGCTTAATAAACTGGTGCTTTAGTTATTTAATAGACTTTTCATATTTATTTAGAAATTAAGTTCTTCTTTATTTAGATCTTTAACCTACTGAATCATTTTTAAATCCACGCCTTATCAAGAAATAATTCCATTTTGTGGAACCAATTTTTAACATCAGTTTGTACGTTTTGGACACCGAAACTGGTGGTGTTGTAATGCGACAGAAATATAATGATGCATATTGTTTTGCGTGTACCTTTCATTAGAGCATTTTCACTGCCAGAAATTTAACAGATTTAGCTGAGCCAAACCAGACACAATTGGCAGAAAATATAGACCTGGGTGTCTGAATCTGAATGTGTAACACTTGGGATGCTAGAATCCAACCTGCTCAAAAGGACATCTATTTACCAAACTCAATTGCTGTTCTCAAAAATGAATGTGTCACCTTAGATCTGTCAGCTGATTGACCCAAGGGTTTTTCCTGCATCTTTTACAAGATTGTTTTATTATTTCCTAATGTAAAATACATATTTTATTCTTTCCTAATGTAAAAATAATACACATTGTAATTCGTTAAAAACAGGAATGTGTTCTTCCCGTGTTTTAATCCAATTAGAGAAATGTTCAAGGGCTCTTTAAGCAGTTGTAAATTAGTAACTAAATGCATATTCTTAATGTTTTCAAATGTCAAGGGGGCGAGCAGAAAACAATCGAGTACTGAACCATTTTCACACAAAAGTCATTCATTTTGTGTTTCATTTACTTTTGCATTTTTTTCGTGGATCTGTTATCTCTGTGTGCTTTGCATTTATCCTCTGTTGGGGAAGTTACAATTTTGTGTTTAATTTTCATTTGATCCTTTTTGGCTTTCAGTTGATTTTATTGGTGGATTTGATCCATTTCCCTTGTACCATGTCAATGAGAAACCATCCCATCTCCTGTTAAAGCCAATGTACCTGTAAGTACTCAACTGCCAATTTTCAGTGTGCCATTAATGTTTTGTTCCATTCTTTAAGAATCTCTCTCTTTTGAACATCTTTGTGTTGTTTTTTAGATGTAAATACATGATAGTAAATTAGCTTTTTTCAAGGGTGGCTTTAAAGCTTTTAATATTGAATATATTGGGGAGCTCTTGCCTTTTAAGTAGGTTGTTCATGTTACTGGAATGGTTAAGCCTTTTTTCCCCATATGAAGACTGGCTGTTCATTCAAATAAAATTATAGCTACTGTCTCCTAACAAAGTTAAAATCATATCCAAGGCAATCTCCTAAGACATGTTTAACACAAACAGAAATTGGATTGTTTTTGTATTACACTGTTAAACCTCTTCCATATATAGGAAGGTAACCTGTTGTAAACACTTTTCATTTGGCCTGAGATGTAATCAAGTTAGAGCATCTTGTCATTCACATTTTACATTAAAATTAGCTTTTAATGAATTCATCATATGAGTACTGCAGAATCATTTTAATGAGTATATAATTAACAATGGTATAAGATTTATTACTGTTCTAGTTGTTTTTATATCTAGGTCAAAGACATGCAGAATAGACAATGGAGAAACATTTCCTGTGAAGCAGGACAAATCTTACGTTTAGAAATATAGAATGTTACCATGGTTTAAATGAGCAACAGCTGCCCTTTTTTCTTCTTTCAAACACATACATTCTACATTCATTATGTGAAGGCTTAGTAAATTAAAGTTTGAGCTACCTGTCCTGTCAGAAACAATATTTACTTTAAATACATTTTTGCTTTTGTACCACAATATTCAAGACCAATATATCTAGATTGTACTTCCTCTGGAAAATCTCTGCTTTTCTTAATGCTATGTACCATCTAAAAGAAAAAAATAGAAAACAAGGGGAAGAATACCATTACTGTAGGTATCCAGGTATCCAGTACAGGGCGGAGCAGTAGCACTGTGGCTAAGGATCTGCGTCTGTGGCTGGAAGGTTGCTGGTTCAAATCCCACAACCGGCAGAGGAATCCTACTCCGTTGGGCCCCTGAGCAAGGCCCTTAACCCCAACTGTTCCAGGGGCGCTGTACAATGGCTGACCCCGCGCTCTGACCCCAAACTTTTCTCCCAGTCTGTGTGCCTGTGTCTCATGGAGAGCAAGCTGGAATATCTGAAAAGACTAATTTCTAATGCAAGAAATTGTATATGGCTAATAAAGTGATCATATCTGATCTTATTTCAGCGTGTGTTTCATTACACTTATTGCTTACTGGTTTCAGTCTCAAGAAGACTTCAAGTTAGTTTTCTAAAGCTTTGCTGGTGAAAGCTCATCTCATCCATTAGCTCTAGTGAAGTACTTGGGTTTGTAATTTGATATGTGCTCCATTACAATTTACTGTCCAAAAACAGACTTTTCCCACATTATATGCCACAAACACCTTGGATCAGAAGTCACTTTGGCCAAATGAAGTTCCAAGTGAAAATCTTGCTCAGTTTTTAGTTTCAAAGGTGCCAAGCAGTCATAACCCTTAGTAAAATAAAATGAGATTAACTGCTAGCATAGGTGATTTACCAGGTTTGTACGGAGACATTGACTGGTAGTTTGTCCCAAAGACACAGAAACATCTGGGATACTGATCCATCCTGTTTTATAGCCTGCTTTATTTAAACTTGCCAGTTTTCATTGCTGTAAATGTTTGCCATCCCATATCTGTTTAATGGCAAAACTTCATACCCCTTTCTAAATACTGAAATACCTAGGTTATTATTATAAGTGACTTTTGATTTTATTAAAATATATTCTTCTTAGTCTTGTCTTTTTGCAGCTCCTACTTTTAAATGTTCTTGCATTATACATTATACACTGTAGTGCATTCCACTACAGAATTGTAACAATCCTCTGGATGAACCTATTTTAAATTGTTCAGGACTCTGTGACTGTGCCAAGACCTTCAGTTACACTTATTTCCAATCACTAAAATTGATCAGCCTTAAGGATCTACAGTACTTTGTTCACTTTTAATGTCAACTCAGATTAAATGTGGTTTTTCAGTTTAAGTAGCTGATCACTCAAATTAAAGCCAATATTTGAGAAGATGGAATGAGTGTGCCAAAACAAATTGTGCATTTGTCACAGATGCAGGAGCTCATGCCAGCGAAGCTCTTGCTGACTCACTGTCTCTTTGGTTTTACAGGTCTACGTAAGTAAAGGATCCAGATTTTCAAGGAAGATCTAATGGAGATAGACAGGGAGGAGTCAAGAAGGATACATTGGAGAGCTGATGTAAAACTTACTTAGCGAAAAACACAAGGACAATACAAAACATTCCACAGTTTGGTTACTTGTCTTTTCAATTTTATATATATACTGTATATTTTTAATTAGATTCTTTGTTGCAAGTATGCTGCTTTAAAAGTACTGTAATTCCATATTTTCTTGTGCTTCACAGTTGCTTGTCTAGCTTGTGGTCAAGCTTTAAAAAATAACAAGGTTTTCAAGAAGACACTAGACACAGGCTAACTTTTCTTGCTGTTGACGCAATGTAAAATCTTTGGTCCTTTATGGGGAAAAAGTACAAGTTTGCTTTAATGCCTTGCCCTGCCCTTTTTGTTTAATTGCTATTCTCCTTGGTTTGCTGGTCCTGCAGACGTTGCTGCTTTTCAGCTGGATATTTTTAAGAGCAGCAAACGGCTGCATTTGAATCTGCAGTGCTGTTTTCTTTTTACTTTCACTTGGAATGTGAAATGGTAGTGGACTGTTGACTTCATTGTGGGATACAGTAACCTATTGCTTGCTGTAAATGGGGGACAAGCCCAAATTAAAAACAAAAGGGCAGTTGAAAATTAACGAAATCTGAAGTGGTTGCTGTTTAAAACAGAAGGCAAAGCATTCAGATGTTGTAAAAGTGTTAAACCATGCTCATATGCAATACATGTATCTAATTAAACACCAAAGTTCCACATTTTATAAAGTTCTGTTACCTTTACTCATTACTTGCCCCTTACTTTTCTCTACTAGGCTTATCCAGTAATTCTTGGCTTTTAAACATGGGACACTAGGGTGGTAAACAATCTCTGATTAAACTAGAGAGTTCTGTAGCTAATGACAGGTGGCATATGGAATCGTCTGTTCCATCTTCCTTTATTTGTTGCAAACCAGCAACGGTGAGTACATTGTGGACTTGGATGGTAAAAATAATTAACATTAAGGACCGTTGGTTCTTGCTCTGTGCAGAGAGCCCAAGCATTTATAATCATAGTAACTACAAGGGCGATAAAAAGAAATGTTTGTGTATGTTTCTGGTGAACGTTGTAATCTCTAGCTGATATACTAAGGCCAGCGTGTATTGATAGAATACCATGCAGTCTTGTAAAGTTTTTGACATGCCTTGCAAGACTCGCTTGAAATGTTTTAAGTTCTCTTTATAGAGGTCTCACCAAGTGCCACAGGCACCCACACTTTCAGCTGATTTTCTGTTTCAAGAGCAAGCTGTGCACTCTTGACATATATTAATGGATAGATGATGAATCATTCTAGAATACAGCTGTTAAATACAAAAATAAAGTGAGCAAATATTTGACCTTCACTGAAGTATAACCTCACTATTACATTAATATAGAACAATATTTTCGTTCTTCCCAAACAGGTTGATAATTGACAGTTACAGTATCTCTGTCAGCAACTTGTATTTAATGAGCACTTTGAGATTCTACAGAACCTGGGGCAAGCATTAATCTGAGAATAAATCTGATACATATATTTGTTACAGTTTCTAGAAGGTTAATGGAAGAAGACAGAATGTTTAAAGACTTGGAAGTATTATATAAATACTCTTTCAAAGATATTCCAAAAGAGTTTAGAAACTATTTCCTCAGATATTTCTACAGAGGATGGATTTGGTGACGTTTTTAGCCAAGGTTGTGCAATAGTACATATGTTTGATAGCACAGAATCTAATCTAACATTTCAGCACCCATCAAGAACAGTATTTTTTGTACACAGCACAATATCTTCTTTGTTGTACGGGTTACAATCGTCTGTTCCATAGTCCATTACTGACCCCTAGTGTTGAATATATGTAGAGTTTACAAATTTGTGCGTGGTTTTCAAAGAACTCCATTCAGTATTTGTGATGGTGTTGATGTTTCATAATAATAACAGCTTACATTTTTATAGCACTTTTCATATTAAAGAATCCCAAAGCAACTTACGTACATGAGGGGACCCACTACTGAACTGTAGCACCACTTTTGTGCTTGCATCACCACTACACAGCAAATCGGGTACAGGAGACAGAAATTACTTTGCCAGCTGAACTAGGTGTTAGATTTTCTGAAGCCAAGTTGTACAAAAATAAGATGTGATTTACCCAGGAGAAAGGTATTAACATTCCAACCTGGTTTACCTTTTTTCCCATTAGGTTGTGTGCTGTATAGCCTAATGTATAAGCAAAATGAAACTGGAAAAGCATAAAACACAATCAACATCCCTACAATAATGACTTGTCAAACAGCACAGTATGAGAAGCAACTATAATATGCTGAAAATTCTATGAGTTTTAATTCTTGTTAGGCTGTTTATAATTACAAATATTATCAGATTGTTTTACTGTGTTGTGTACAGTATTCTTTATTTATTATAAGTGGCATTATCCTTGTGCAAGATAGATGATAAAAGTACAAATGTGCAGTATATCATTCTTGTACAAAGGCTAAACCCTGAAATAGAGCAGAAGTCAGTTAGATTTTACTGCCATCACATGAAATCTGTATCTAAGTCTAGCTCTAAACTTAAGGTAATTCCTATTCTGAGTGACCTCTTGAATGAAGCCTACTGTCATTCCTTTCAGCTTCATCTATGATTTTTTCAATAAAACAAAACCTTAACAAGGGTAATTCCAACCTCAAATTAGGAAAAGAATAATGTACAGATTGGTATTTAAATTCTTCAGACCGAGGGTACAATGCAACATTGAAATGTATAAAATGAAACAATAAAAACAGGCTAATTTGGAAGAGTGATACAAATTTATTATAGCATCAGTAGTAGCAACTTTAAAGGAATTCCCTTTTTAAACATGTAAACCTATCAGATATCACTTAAAACAGGGAGGTACCTCTAGAAAACTTTTTAGGTAGAAGATGAGATCCACAGCTTTTTCCTTTCTTTTTAAATCTAGATGTTGTTTCGAGTGACAACAATCATTGATAATAGATAAAACATCTTCTGCCCACTGAATCTATAGTTATCACACAAAATGCATTGTTTAAAATGAGCATGACTGGTACCTTTGCCTATGTGTGCACGCTTGGTAGAACCTGAATCTACCTCTCTCTGTTTAGATGTAATACATTACTACTGGGTTGGCTACCATCAACAAAAAGCAAAATAAAAAACAATGCTCTTTCAAATTCTGTGATTCACATTGTTTACTTCAGTGAGTGATTGGAGCTGTAACAAATTGCAGACTGCAAGCAAGGAAAAGACAAGTCATGTTTATAACAAGGTATTGACAGTTAGCTTGCTTAAGTTCACTTACCTCACATCTAACAGCGTACTGAATAATAAGTCTACAGAATGTTGATTTCTGTCTGTTCATCCATGCATCTGTCTGACTGAGATAAAGGGAAAGATTGGCCATTGGCCTTCTTGTTTTTATCTAATGTGTTAAATGGGAAACATAATCAAAAATCTCTTTAGAGTGGATTGTCTCTCGCCATACAAGTCACTACTGCTTTGTACAGTATATTCCATCCAGGAGGGTGTGCTCTTTGCTTGTGTACAATGAAGTATGACTCTAATTGTTTCACACATTTCTAAAGATCTGCTTACCCATGCAGTCTTTATATATTATAAAATATTTTGAGAACCTTCCCCAAATCGTGTGCTTGCTGATCAATTGATTTAATGAACAACATTCTTTACGGGTTTGGTATTCCATTTTATGGAGCATTTCTACGAGAGTATTGAATGTTATTTTTATGTTTCTATGTTGTTACTTGCATCTTTTGTGGTATTTTACTTACAACAAGCACTCAGACATATGAAGCCAGCAGCTAACAAGTTTTCTGGCTATTGTGTATTCATTGGAAAACTACACAGCAGCTGACTTCACAGTTCTTTGGGGTGGTTTGAATGAATGTGGGTTAAGTTCATTTAGTAAAAGAATGAAAGTTTGCTTGAGTGCATTAGTGCTCTGTTAAAATGTGTAGATTTACATCATTTGTACTTCTAAGGTAAATTTCTGCCTCCAAATATGTTTGTAACACATTGGTTAACTTAACAAAAAAATCTCTCATTTTTCAAACATGCGTTTCACTCTGGTATTCACATTTGTACCCTGTAGTCTCATTGTAATGTACCTTCCTATAAGTGTTCCCAGTCGGATGAGAATGGTGGTTTGTGTTCAGAAATGTAAATAGTCATTTGTTAATAAACTGTGTACTTTTAATGTTTCTGCTCTGTGTTTTCTTAAAGCATGAAACATTAGCACAAACACACAAACCCTGAATCTCCATTTCATTGTTAAAACAAATCACTTTGTTTTAAGACTGAAAATGATTACTTGCAGAGCCAAGTACAAAGCTTAGTTTCATTCAATGTCAAGATAAAGCAACATTAAATATCTATTAAGTGGGTGACATGCTTCCAGGGGCTGTACTGGTTCATTCAAAGATAGATGAGCCAAAACACACATATAAGATTTAAAAATAAAAGAGACACTCCAGATCCTTCTCTCTCTCCCTTTGCTTTTCTCTGTTTCTATATATAAACCAACCCAACTCTTCTACACAATTTACCAATCAAATCATTGCCTATAGGTGAACTATTTACCTTGTGCACAAGTGCTCTCTGTATTGTGCCCAGTGATTGCTTGAGGCTGCCTCTAGTGGCTGCTCTTTGGCAATTGCACCCCTTGGTGATCAGAGAAAAGGCATGAATAAATCTGACGTGTTATTTTGCAGTTTAATGCCAGCTTTCCCCCTTTTTCAGCGCTGAGGATTTTCTGCAAAAGAAAGAAGAATTTTCACTGCCTTCTCAAAGGTCTTTCCGAAACAAAAACAAAAACATTCAAAGAGTAAGTTCTTAAAGTAGAACTCTGATAACATAAATTCTCAGCTGTGTTTTGGCATTTGTGGAGTTATTAAAACGACACAAAGGATTCACAATTACAAAAATGATTTCTGGTAATGTTTGTGTGAGTATTTTCTACTCAGGGGTGTGCTTTCTATCGTATTCACATTCATGTCTACAAAATAAATTCTCACCACTCTAGCTGGGAAGATAAAAGCAAAAAAGCACTTTGATGTTTATGCTGGTAGCACAACTTGCAAGTGAAATATGTCCACTGTTTTTGCTGCAGCACATAATCAGCTCTTAGAAACCTCATTTAACACCTCTACTTAACCAACCACTTAAAAAAGTGAGTACCGAGTCGAGATGCTTACCAATGAGACAACCCAGTTTAAGACATGAATGCCCGAACGCTGCCTCTGATAACAGCGCGACAGATGGGGCAGTGTCGCAGGCTGGCCGCACAATCGGTACACACCACCAGGTGTCCACAGGGAATGAAAACGATGGACACCACTTTGTCCATGCACACCTTACAGGTACGCTCCTCCTGCAACTGTCTCAGCTCCTCCTCTGGGCTCATGTCCCCCACTACCAAAAGGAATAAAGACTGAGGCTTCATGTTCATGTTCATTGTAACCAGCCCTGCTGTATTCTACAGCTTCTCAGGCTGTGTTACTTCAGTGCCATTACATTAGTGCTAACAGATCAGCTATTCTTTGTAACTCTAGGAAATTAACCATGGAAATAATATTTCCCTGCGAAAAATATTTTTTTCACATTTCTTTCTTTCTGAATACCCTACTGAGATTTCATGAAATACATTGATTTGTGTCCTTAGAAGCATTTGTGTCCTTAGAAGTTCATGAAGTGTTTATAGGATTAGAATTCCCCACACTGTGGTGGTGGGATCCCAATCAATAGATGTTGCACAGGAGTAATAACTCGTAATTAGAAATCAGAAGTCACTTTTAAAATGGCTCTGGTAATTACAACATGGTGCCAAGTTCACTTGGCATCAAACATTCTGGAATATAAACTTTCATAGACTTGCAAGACTTCTTTTCAGACCCCTACTGCTGTTTCAGAAGTAAATTAGCTAACCTTTCTCCTTAGGGTGATCCTGTGCCGTCTCACTCCCAGCACTCATACCTTGTCTTGGCCTGTGGATAGGCTCTAGAACAAATGTACAGGGTGTTTACAGGCTATTTCACCGCGTTATGAAATGTGCATGAAGGAGCAATGAAGCCTAGCAGACATAATAGGATTGGAGGAACAAATTCTCATGGACAAGGACAGTTGACCTCAGCTCTGTATGTTGTCCCTCCACAAATACAAATTCTCATGGACACAACTGTGGTCACATTGGAACACATTTAGCAATCTTGGGTATGTCACTGTCACTGTCATTGTCCTTGGGCATGTTTTCCCTGTAGTCTCTCTGAACACTTTCAGTGCAGAACTACTTAGAAGGGGATAAATACTACTTTTTACTGTGATGGTAACTATGATCAAATTTTATTTTATTTCAGTTCAGGAGTCCTTGCAAATACAAAAAACAGCCATACAAGCACACAGTATACATCTCTGTCTACTCTATTTATTCTAAAGCCTACAGTATATGAATGTTGTTCAGTATTCTAAAAAAATATTTTCTGCAGCACACTGCTTTGCTATTATAGCTCAACCACGGTTTTCCTGCTCCACATGCACACCCTGAAAGTAAATTACAAGAATAACTTCACATTCTATTATAATGGGAGCTTTGTTCTTAAATAGTTATGAGATCTATCTTCCTATTTGTAAAACACAAATAAAGCTGACGTCTCATTTTTAGCACAGCAGAATCAAAACAGCTTAAAGTGTGACGTGTGCCTAGCTTTCTGTCTTAATTTTCCACTATAAATGAAAGGATAGTTTGAATTTTGTACCTCTAGTCTGTTCTGTTTCTTCCCTGTCATCTTCTTCAGCTTGCAGTATATCAGACACCAGGTCAGACACTGAGGTATACTGATTTCCAGTAAGCAGATACTTGGTCTGTACTAAACTTCCCACCAGACTGGGGTCAAAGCCCATCTGTAATACACTCTGGACCTCTGGAGACTGCAGGATCGAGGACAAGCCCTGATTACCAACCACATCTAAAAAAAAGGGGGAGTGCACAGTTTGGGTTCTCTGAGTCAATAATTTATTTTCAAGCACTGATGACTTTTTGGCAACAAAATCAACACAAATTCAATCAGAAGAAAATAAGAACATAAGGACAAATGCAAATTGAGAGGGAGCCATTTGGCCCATTTAGCTCAGTTGGTTTTTAGTTTAAGACCATGGTGCTTAGCTTAATGTTGAGATATTTCCATTTTAATTGCAGAATTGCATGATTTTAAAAGTAAATAGGATGCTTTTTGAAATTGGCTCCATCATGTGACCATATGGAGTCTAAAATAAAAGGACAACTTCTCCCTAATTATTGCGACAACTGGTAGGCTACACAAACAAGGTCAGAATAAGATAAAGAGGACACACACATGGAACGAAGAATACCAATGAAGAACTACAGTATGTGGAAATTCAGTTTTCATGCCCAATCTCCTACTCTTTGCGATCCGTTGATTAAAATAATAAGCATGATACAAGTTGAAATGAAAAATACGACTACATTTTAAGATTTTCAACATTTTACAGAATGTAGCTTTGACACTTTTAATAGAACTGATAAATGTCCATATCTAACACTAAAATGAAATCTCTCTCTGGGGGGAAAATGCAATTTTAGGACCTTGCAATTAAGTTGTTTTTTTTTTTAAATGCAGCAGTACTGAGGACTGCCAACCAGACTTTGAACATGATGAATGCCAATGCCTTTTCAGCTGACAAATTAAGACAAAATCAAATACGACTATTGGACCCGAGAGGCCACTTAACTAGCAAGACAACTCTAAGTGAGTACACGCCTCACACACAGCAGTTACATAGATTAGACACGTTCAAAATTCTTATTTGACTTTCTGCCCACGAAAGGCACAGGGAAGTTTTCAGTTTCTCTAAAGCGTCATTATTTTTGGAACGGACCAATTGAGTGTTCATTTCTGACCATAAAAAAAAAACAAAAAGGCTGCAAACTGTCGATTTATACTCCCACATTAGTGCATCGCATCACTGTTCTAATTTAACACAACGGAATTTCTGTCAGAAGTATCTTTAGTTATTGTGTTGAAGAGTTTCAAGAATATCAAAGCTCATTTGACCAGCAAAATGGACATGGGACTTCGCAAGTTAACGTCTGAGCAAATTCTTCTGAATGTGGTACAGTTTCTGGAGAAATGTCAGACAGGGTTGGTCTAAATGAAATTTAGGGGTTTATACAGTAATTCAGGACTTGTTTTATTTTAATTTTTTAATTAGAACCGCATCTTCAGTTTCTGACCTGGATCTTGTAGTTTCTAAAAAACTGACTGCTAAGCTAATGTACCATGAATTTATGGAAATAAATGGAAAGAAAACTAAATGACAAGAACTACTTCTTTCTTTATCCCTCGACAAGAAAGAGATGTACTTTTTTTCATTAGTCCTAAGCCAGCTCAGGATTTGTATTGTTCTATTTCTTTTACTGATCTCAAATACAAATGATAAAAAGAGAACAACACACTAACCTTGTCCTGAAGTGGTCTCTCTAGCTTCTGGTGATTGTGATCCACTCTGCAAAAAATGGAAGACAGTAACAATATACTTCTGATGCTATGATGCAGTTTCTGTACTTCAGGACAGAATTTTAGGACAATCTCTTACCACTGGTTCTCCAATATGAAAATACGATTCTTGAATGTTGTTAACATAGTCTCTTCCCCTTGCTTGCAGCAAAAATTCACATCTAAGACAAGAAAGAAAATGTACAGTACAATAGGGGGAAAAAACACGTTTTCACAGCTATTAGGCCTAAAAACCTAGATCAGAGTGGTAGAACTACTATTATTTGGTACTGTAGGTGTCATTTCTGAAGTTTTTTGACACAGTCCTGAACAGAAGAAGACACCCATACTCTTTTCTCTCTCAAAGAAGAATTCCTATTTTGTGCTGTCAATGAAACAAATATCTAAACCATGGTCTTATTGACTAAAATGATGACCATGTTTCTCAAAATCGTAAATGAGGTAGGCAAAATGCCACTACACAATGTGTTTTCAGGGCAGTGGACTAAGAAATAGAGGTCTTAAAAATCCCAAAGGATTCTAGCTGATTTTGCTTGGGAGAGGGAAACTGTTCGATATGTTTGTTTTATTTATCGACTTTTTATTGTTACCGAGGAAACCACTTCGCGTGTTCTTGCCACGGGTCGTCCCCTGGCTCCCAGTTTCGAAGGCCCCCGTCGCAATAGAAACACTTGACATTGTCGCCATGACCTGGAAGAGCACAGACATTTATTTGTAAAAGCTCTGCCCCAAGCTTTCGAACTGCGCTCCAGCTGAAAGGCTGGAGCTAACCTTCACGCGCTGCTGTCTAGACAGACTCTCCATGTCATGAACAGAAACAAATGGCGTGAAAGAATTAGTGAAGGACCTGGGGAAATTAAGCAAACTGTCTTGTCGTGATGCAATGTGCTTTGCATTTCTCTAAGCACGTTTATTTGAATCCTAACGTTTCTAACTGTGTTTAACGCGAAATGTCACCACTGGCTATACATACGTTTAGTTTTTTCTTAACTGCATTTCTTTCATATAAAAAACCTACAAGGTGTTTTAAAATTGTATTAAAATTTAATACAGTACAAACTTTTTCAAAACTTTTCTTAACATAATTTAATTGCATTTTGATGAAACTCCTAAAGGCGAACAAGAGACTATCCTTTTTGTAGTATCACACACCCAAGGAACTACAACTAATTACTTTCAGAAACTTTTGAATTGATTTTCTGACCTCAGTGATGTGATATAAATTTTATTTATAAGAATATATGGATGATTTTGTTTGAGACAAAAACAGTTATCACTTATCTACCGGTGTCCAGGTGTTTCTATTTGAAGTCCCATGACACTGCGCTTCTATTGTGCTTTAGCTTAGCACAAAGACCGAGTTGTATCAGTAAAATTACTTTCAAGTTGGTTAAATCTGTGCGAATGGTAATACTGTACGTGTATCTATAATCCTTCATGGTCGGGGCTAAATAAAACAGAACACCGTCGTAAAAAAAAGTAACAATGAATTCCAAGCTATTGGAAATGTTCAAAACACCAACGGACTTTAAAAATATATGCATAAATGCGAACACACTGATTATATGAAATTAAAAAGATAGTTTGACCACTTCTGGTCGTGTTTGACTCTATAGAGGTGTTCATCGCAAGGAAAGCCGCATACCAGTATAGAAAAAACCCGCTCTAGCCAGAACTTCTGGTTGCACGGAGGCGCCGGTAGGCCAGTTCTGAAACGTTGTCAGACGCGAGTCCTCTGCTTCCATCTCCGGGTACACAGGCTGTCCACCTGCTACCTGGTCCTCTACTGTCATTCTCTGCAGCTGACTGAGGATTTGTCCATCCACCGCATCGGCTGAGCCCTGCGCTGCAAGCAGCGGGACGTTGCCCACGTTTCTGCCCAGTATGAACCAGCAAGCCGGGAAGTGCCTCATGTGCTCTTGCATGGGTCCGTCTCCGTGCACCCAGTGCCTAAGTACTCCACCACAGCAAAAGCACCGTACTTTATCTCCGGGTCCTAGGAAGTAGAACCCAGCATTGGCCAGATCGGCGGCGGAGACTGGAGCATAGCTGGGCCAGTGCTGGAAACTCCTGAGCCTCGCCGCCTCGTTTCGCATTCCGGGGTCCGCCAACAGATACATGAATGAACTGTCACCCGGCATATTCACGTTTGGGATGGTAGCGTTGCTTTCCTGTGCAGGACCAGGCATACCAAGTGTGTCCCATCGTGGAGTCGGCTGCTGCGCTCTGGGGTGCACCAGCGTGCCGGTTTTCATGCACAGTCAGTATATGGAAACCGCAGCAGCTGAGTAGCACTGTATTAGCATTCCAGAAAACTCAACACTGTCGGGATCGGGTCCCGTGCTGCGAGTCGGTGAATGGCGCACGGACAATGGTGCTTCTGTGACACTTTTGGAAAAAAAAAATCCTGACAAAAGCTGAAAGACAAAACAGGCTTTACAGTAACCCACGTGTTAGCCTACGTTTGCCAGGCATTCATGTGGGTTCCAAAAGTAACCTCGCATCGAAAAGTTACAGTCATGAAATCACTGGCCTACAAAAACATCAGGTATTTCCCAAAAGCGAAAAATGGTCAAATAACTTGCGCCCTGAACAAGGAAAGATTTTTTTTTACCTGAGTGGACCTGTGCAATATGGCCTTCCTGAAATCGCCCATTAATTCAGTAATGGGAGAAGCAGTTTTTCACTTCATAGTCTAGCCGTGTCGTGGCTTGTTACTGCCAAGTGGGGACTGCACTCAGGTAGCGAGTGAAGTTATTAAATATGGATCAAACCACTATAGTGTATTTTATTAAATAAATAATAAAATTGTATTGATTTTATTCCCGGACTGGAGGGAAGGGTCGTGGTCTGAATCACAAGTGGTACACAGCTATGGTACTCTTGGGCAAGGTACTCAAAACTGATGTACAGATATATAACATTGCAATATACAGTATCTCTTAATATATAACAATATAATGACTAATCTGCTTAAACAAATGATTAAACCTTATTTTACTAAGCTAAGAAGAAAGTAAGTCTGACGAATCCCAGTTGCAGTTTCTTGCCCATTTCCCGTATAATTATCATTTTGCTTGTACGGGTCCAACCTACAGCGCATTTTTGCAGTATATTGATCTTTTGTACACACAGGTTGATATCCACGTCGGTACCGCTGCACCGGTAAATTGTTTTCAGCGTGAGCCGCGTCAGGCTGTGAAAACCAAGCAATTCTTCCATCGGCTTAGCACGGAGCTGAAACACACGTTAGAAAAAAAAAGTCACCAGATGAATCAGGCACAGACAGACACAAAAAAAATGATCTCAGTGGTGCGAGGAGCATTGAGTTTATTCTTCTTTTTTTTTACTAGCGTTTAATCACAGCTTCCGGAGGGTATTGTCACCACCTCTGCCTCACAGGCGCCCCCCCTCCGCGCATACATATAAAGTACCAGTGACGTCAATCCTCTTTCTTGAGACCCCGGATGGAGCGGCCATTGGTGGGGAAGTGATCTGGGCTGCACGATAACTGAGGGAGGCTTCTTGCAGGACTGAAACAGCCGGAGGAACTAAACTGAAAAAGAACTGTGGAGCTCGGGCATAAAACATCCAGACAGCCCTTAGGCCGGACTAAAAGTGAGCCCGAGTGGACTGGTTCAGGGCGCAACTTGGGGATCGCGATCTTGGAAAACGTTGTGGGTTTTTTTTTTTTAACAGCAAAGGAGGAAAAAAAAAGCAAACATTGATCAAGGCTCCACTCCAATCCAGGGGCTTGCTTAATGAATTATGTCTGCCACAAGCATTGACCCTCAGGTAGGCAGGGCTGGATATGCCGGGTCATTTCCTCTCTCTCTCTCTCTCTTTTTTTTTGAGGCCTTTACTTTGAATTAGAGGGAAAGGAAATTCCGAGCCCCTAAAACATTTTGGGAATAATCGAAAACATTTTTTTTAAATTGTGAGGCAGGGCAGAGCGATACGTTATGCCATACGTTAGTAACCCTGCAACTACAACGCAGCAGCCTGACGTGTTTTAAGGCTCGGGTTTCGTTTATCACTCAGTCCTGTGGATGTTTTTCTTCTATGGCTGACAATGGGAATGTACTAAGTTAGAAGGGAGTGTTCTCTTTATATTCAGGATCTGCTGACTTTCCCGGGCACATCCTTGCCCCTTTTCACGATCACTTTCCTTTCGGTGGGGGGGGATACCGAGGTGTAACTTGTTTCTGTTTTATTTTCTTGCATGTTACCGTTTAAATGGAAACGCAGAGACCAAAAGGACAAGAAACTAAAGGTAAGGAAATTGCGGGTCTCTCGCACCGTGGAAGAACGCGTTACGTTTTTTGTGAGCTCCGTGTTTCCAGCTAAGGACAAATTCTTTTTTTTTAAGCTTTATTATAACTCGATAAGTAGTCCTAGGTGATAAAAAAACAAACTTGAAATTGCGCCCCTGATGACGACATACATTGTGTGTGGGGGGGGGGAGATTTCGCAGAAGCTATTGATCACCGGATGAATTTGTGCTCTTTATGTGATTTTAAATGTTATCAGGAGAAGGCCTGACAGACGCCTTTGACTCCTGCGAGATTCCGTTTACTGTATTAAATTTCCAGAAGGGTCACCTGATAGGTTTTTTTACTTCCTGTACACTTTGTAATCGCTCTGAGATTCTGTACTTACAGTCCTACATTTACGTTTTTGTCTTTCAGCGTCTGATTAAGCACAGTTTTTTTTAATATCGCCTCGCATTGTGTTAAAACTGGTTAAGGGACTCGGATGGAGCTCGTTTTTAAGTAGTTTAATGAGAAATCAAACACTGTGTTCATGGCGTTTGCGGGGACCAGTTGCATTGCCTTTGTGGTATCGTTGCATTTTGCAGGATGTTAGCGTTGGGTAAGGTAATGTGAGGACCCTGTCCCCTCCTCTGAATTGTCAGGAAAGCTGTGGAGGGGAGATCTACAGTCTGCTCGTTTTAGCTTTGATGTAATAATAATTGGTTACACTTATATAGCGCTTTTCTGGACAATCCACTCAAAGCGCTTTACAGGTAATGGGGACTCCCCTCCACCACCACCAATGTGCAGCATCCACCTAGTTTAAACTGTAGTTCCGAAAGTGCTGTACCCGTGCTTTTTCATTTATTTCCTAGTTTTATTAGGTGTTTTGCTGATACAGGCCGAGGGGTAATCATGCTTTGTCTTGAGTAGCAACAAATAGTGCAAAAGAAGGCACACCCAAGAATTCGTGTTTTGTCCAGTACAAATAGTGAAGGTGGTAAAATCAATTGGTCACACCATATTTTTATAAGAAAAAAAATGGGCACTTCTCAGTGTTTTTTTTTTTGTTATGCACAGTCCTACGTCAGGACACGCACCTTGGGTAGATAAGAATCTGATACAGACAAATGTTCCTTAATTGTTGGCATTCCGCTGGAGTTGAAGCTCTGTTTTTAAAAGAAGCAAGAATGAAATAAAATCCACCTGGCTATAATTATAACTATCACAAGCAACAGGCACAAGGCAGAATACACTCTGGATGGTTTGCCAGGGCACACAAAAACACAAGCGTACTCACGCTCGCACCTGGACAGTTTTCCCAGTCGCCAGCCAGTGTTGGTCCGGACTGCGTGAGAAAGCCGGACCACCAGGTAGAAAACCACACAAACACCTGGGGAGAGCATACGAGCTCACAAACATGTGGATAGCATCCCAGGAGTTGTACCTGTACAGCTGTGCTTGTACTACTGTGCCACCCCAAATAAATCAACATACATATATATATATTTAAAATTGACTCTTAAGATTTAGAATTTAAATTAATTTTAATTCTAGTTCAAAGTGTGTTAGTCAGGTTCTGTTTATAGGAAAGGCTTAAAATGGATAGTGTTCACTCCATGAGTGGTTGAAGAACAGAGATAAGAAATCCAGAGTGTCTGGTGGTGACTTAAGAGAGATGTGGACCTTTCAGTGCCCTCTTGCCTGAGAGAAGATTGCATGAGTGTCCTTTGCAAGCAAGGGAGCACTGGATAAGTGAAATTTTGATGTTTAAGGGTGTTCAGATATTATATTGTCTTTTAGTTTTACCAGTATATGAGGTTAAAGGAATTGCACTTCACAATACTGTTACATTACATACAAGATCCACACTGAATAATCTAAATGGTAATGAAGATGTCCTGCATATTAAGGACATGATAAGGAAGTCTAACTGCAAACACATGGGCATTTAACATTCCTCTTATCTGTTTGTCATTGCTATTGGGTCATATTTAAATGCTTAAAAAAGATCAGGTCAGTGTTGATTAAATAGAAGATACACCTACAGTTCAACTCCACAGGGATAAGCCAGCTAGAAAAACTGTGATATCTCCATTTATCTGTTTCAGAGTACAGCGTTTAACTAAATGAGCACTGTTTTGCACAGTAGCAGCTTGATTTTCTTCTAAATGGTTTTCATGCTCACTTTTGATTTTTCATTGCCTGAAAATAACAAAAAAGTGACATCTCTGCTGGTAAGCTGAAAACTGATAGTACAGCGCATCGCGTTAAATTAAACGTGTTAGATGTATAGGATACCTTTTCATCAACTATGCTGCATCTTCACAAAGCTTTTTGTACATCTTTCATTCCAAACCGGTGCACTTTGAGTGTAATCATCTTCACACTAAACAGAAACCATAACATCGAAAGGAAGCCTAGGTCACCTGCATTATCCATAGGATGTTTACTGTGGGTCAGGTTTGTTGGTGTGATTCACTTCCAGGTAAAAAACAGACATTGCTTGTGCTGCTCTGAGGTTTTGCAGAGGAAAGCTAAAAATGCTGCATGTGAACTCTTATGCTCCTATAATGCCAAACAATGTGAATGAGGCAGCTGAAGTACCAAATTGTAGAGGTAACATCTTGTGATGGGTATACTATTTTTGGATTTAATAATAACTTGTCAGTTGTTTTTTCATGAAAGAAAGTCATTACTTTTATTGATATGTTTTTTGTCAATGTTTTTTGTTTCAGTGCAAAATGGTTCGCTTCATCAAAAGGACACTGTTCATGACAATGATTTTGAACCTTACCTCACTGGTCAGTCTAACCAGGTAAATATTTATCAGAATTATTTGCTTTGCATAAGCCCTTATCCAGGTTGATTTACACTGTATACAAAGCTTGTATTATGTTTGTGAAAGCACAATACAATGACAATAAGGCAAGCTCTTGGCTTGAATTGTAATCTGAGCATTGCCAGTTGTGATCAATAGGTGCTTGACGGGTATATTGCTTCATAGTTAAAATGACATCAGTTGAGTCTCTGGTTCAACCAATGAAGTGCCTCAAAACACAGTTCACACTTTATGGCTCAGATGTCCCCAGTCTGAGATTGTCACCATTACTAGTCATTTGAGGGCATTCATTTGCAAAAGGATTCTTTTATTTCAGCAAAATAGAGGCTCCTGGGGGCCTTCTAAGTGCCTTAGTCAGCAAAAAGGCTCTCACTCGAGTACAGATTGAGCTTGTGGTCACGGGTTCCTGTCTGGGTTATGTCACTACTCAGCTATGAGTGGGATTCCCCAAGCAGTGATGCGCAGTTGACTGAGATCTGCCGAAGATAGGATTAGATTAGTCAGCCAGGTCTCTCTGCCTGTTCTCCGTAATACAGCGATCCCTGCAACCTCCCAGGTACTTGCAGGCATCTGGTGCTGTTCCTCTCCTCCAGTTGTCAATAAACCTCCAGTACTGGCCTGTGGGGCCTGTGATATGTTAATGGGTGAGGGGGTTAGATGTATCTGCCTACATTTCCTCATTCTCCTCTGGGGCAGGAAAAGGATTTGTAGCTGCAAGCCGAGATATGAAAGATAGTTAACTATTGTAAATTGCCTGTGTTTTGGAGATTCTGAATTTAAAGAAAAGGTTCCCTGCCTCTTGTTGGGGGTCTCCAGGTTTTCCAGTGAAATGAGAGGCATGCCACTTTTCCTTTTGGTTCTGACTCTGAGGCAATATGGAGCCTACTAAATGTAAAAAAACATATGGCATTGAGAGCTTACAGAAGTTCTCTCTGTAAGCTATGTATTAAACTATTGATGATTACAAATTTGGTGACTTAGTTAACTGACTCTTTAAACAACTCCTTTGCGTAGGAATTAAAATCTGCAGACTTTGGCCTGTCTGTAGGTTACTGTTGTAACTTCATCATACTGTTTACACACAGCAAGAAAAGATTCAGATAAATGTTCTTCTGTTTATTTTGTCCAGCTGGTGTTGAACCAATGTTTATTAAATAGCTAATGGTCCTCTGTTGTTATTTGTGATCAATTTGCCAGAACTGTATGATGTCAGTACCCCACCATATGCACTATTCATCAATCATTACAGCAGAGACATGGTGTCCTGTCTCCCAGAACATTCTCGTGCTTTACCTGACTTGTATATTTGAAGTTAAAGCTGTTAGTTTGTTGGAACAGTGTTGCGGCTTTTGGCAAGTTTGCCTTATGGAGAATTTGTGAGCCAAACATGTTCTGTTAATTTGCACTTTTTTTGGTAAGAGTGTTTTTCAGTTTAGTCTCCCTGACAGGTTCAAGTAGCCGATCACTATTAGGGGCTGTATGATAATTAGCAGAGGATTACAAAAATAACTTCACCTTAGCACAGAGTAAAAACAGAAATTTACAACTGAATAAACAACCATTGATAACTAGGATGGTGTTGTATAAATAAATGAGTTGTTTTGCTGTCATTTGTTAGTTTGGTATATTGCTTTTACGGTGAAGAAAATGTAATGTTGAAGTGCAGCATTTCACAAACTGTAACCCAGATGGAAATGTTCAAGGTTTTATTTGGGAAATTACTTGAAGAGCAATAATGCTTTAGAGTGTGCTTCTGAAAAGATTAATCTTCAAAAAGGTTTTACTGCCATTACCCTGAACCAGCACTAGATTAGTCCTCACACAAGAAAATCTAACCTTGTTCCACTAAATCTCCTGCACATAAATGCCAGTTTATATATGTACTAGTGATGTGATTTCTTTGACTGAATTTCATCAATGTAAGCTCGCACTTTATCATTAGAAGGGCCAGTGTTTCCTGGCATTAGAATCAAATTGTGAATTTCAAATGTTGTACATTTAGGAAATGCCAGTTATACATTAGGCCTATGTAAATAAAAATAGCAGATGACTTGGTGATGGAAAATATGCAAACTAGTTACAGCACTAGAGTGCGTCACATTCCAGTGTTCAGCATGATGCAAATATCTGGATGAAATCCATTTGAGAGTCTTAAAAGGTATCATTTTGACATAATGAATGTGCTGCACAGGTCTATGGAAGTAAAAACGCTGATTGTTTTTTCATCACTGCCAGAAGGTAGTGAAGGATATCGCAATTAAATGTTGTCTTCTGAGAAATTAGAAGTAGTTCTGTTTCAGGAATAGATGATTTAGATGCAAAAGCCTTGATCACTCTGCAAGCTCTCTGCACCTGCACATAAGTATGCACACAGTAACAAGTGTAGCAACTTCAACAAATTTCCAAAATCATGAATTATAAATCAAGCTTTAATAAATTACCAATAATATATCCGATCCCATAACCAGCAACAATTGACCTTTCCAGGTCATAACCTGGTTGAGAGCTTAAGTAATCGATTACATTTCAGTGGACACCACAGAATTTTGTAGCACATGTATTATATTTAGAACAGTAAAGTACTGAACACAGAAGGATCCTTTTATATCAGTCTAGTCTTAAGTAGTGCATGGAAGATAATTTAGTAAGAGGTCAGCCTTCAGAGCATTGATTATTTTTGGATAATATCTAATGAAGTATTTATAAGATAGGACTGCAAGGTCACATTTTATAGAAGCACTTGTAGACGATTTGTTGATGCACTTAATGCCCTCAGTGAGTACGATTTACTATATATGCAGTATTTCTTAGAATTTTCTTAGAATAACATTAAGAGGACTTCTTTAAAATCTAAAATATCCCCCTTTTAAGTTCCTTATATAAAAAATAAGAGCATGTAATAGTTAAGATCCCTAAGAAGCACTGAGTGGCATTCTTCGATGGAGTGCCTGTTTATTGTGGATGTTTTCCTTTACAGTTATTGAGCTATGGCATGCATCAATGACTATAATCCTATATTCTGTACTGGGTTCTGTATGCATGTGTATAGCTCAGTGTTTTAGAAGGAGACAAAAGAGAGAAGGCCATTTCTCAAAATGATGGTCCTCATGTTATTGTTATGAATCCAGATCCACAGTAACACAATACCCTCTGCCCCAGATTGAGCTTTTTAAATTTGTGGAATGGGTAGTTTACTGTTTTCATCCATTCACATTGAAGTATTTGTTCTGTGTGTATGTCTCATACAGGAATCGATGTATAAAGAAACCATTCAATGTTAATTTTATTTCTTTATCTTTCAACATTATTTTATACTGTTTTCTTAATCTAATATTTAAAAGTGAAAACAAGAGGCCTGTATTGTGCCTTCAGTGTATGTTGATCTGAAGGCCCTATTATGTTGAGCAGTGAGATGGGTATCGCAGGATAATTATTGTAAAGCATTTTGTAACTTGGTATAGCAAAGGGTTTTTGTCTTTAGAAGGGCAATACCGTGAATTTATTTTCATTATTTATTGTATGTGTTTTTGAGACCAAACTATGGTCTATTTTAAGATGCTGATTCCCAAGGAGGGTTTTGAGTTAATATAAATCTGCTTAAGCTCTAATTTTATGTTGTGCACTGTTACAATGCTTCGTAGTAAAAAGAGAAACACTGTTGGCTAAACAAAAAAAAAAATGAAAATATTTAATAACAGTACAAACTACATGCACAACTTTTTTTTCTCAGTTTGCTAAACCTTTATTCCAGTTCCCTGTTCGCCAATAAATTACATGGCATTCTCTTACAATATTAGTTGCATTTGCTTCTAAAAAAGCAATTATACACCATGCTTCCTTTCATTATTTTTTAAGTATGTTGTGTATTTTAATGAGGCATGTTATTCTCTTGTGCTCTTATTCTGTGCAAGAGATCAAATTGATTGATGTACAAAGTGGGAAAAATAGCATGTTTTGGGTGGTGCTAAAAGCATATAGATTAGCCTTCTCCTAAGAGAGCTAGATATGTTTCAGTGGGAAATGGGAAACCAGAAACTTGCACTCCAGTGCATCTGAGAATGTTACATCAACCAGCTTCTGTTTTATGTGATATTAAGTAGGATCAATATAACAAGGTATCAGTTCTGCTGTAGTGCTTCTGTGAAATGGAAGGACTGCAAATTGAGTTGCTCATGAGATTTGATCAAATGTGGCGTTGTTCTGTCTTAACTGTTTGACATTATATTTTATTTTTGTTTTAAACAGAGCAGCAGTTATCCGTCCATGACCGATCCATACTTGTCCAGCTATTATGCCCCCTCCATTGGTTTTCCCTATCCTCTAAGTGAAGCGCCCTGGTCTACAGGTGGAGACCCTCCGATTCCTTACTTGACTACCTATGGACAGCTGAGCAATGGAGACCACCATTTCATGCACGATACGGTTTTCGGCCAACCCGGAGGACTTGGAAGTAATATTTACCAGCACAGGTTTAACTTTTTTCCTGAAAACCCAGCTTTTTCAACCTGGGGAACCAGTGGCTCTCAGGGACAGCAGACTCAGAGTTCAGCCTATGGTGGCAGTTACAGCTACCCTCCCAGCTCCCTGGGGGGGACTTTGGTGGATGGACAGACAGGCTTTCACAACGACACTTTAAACAAAGCTCCGGGCATGAACAGTATCGAGCAAGGCATGGTGGGACTCAAGATTGGGGGTGACGTGACGGGATCTGCTGTCAAAACGGTGGGATCTGTCATCAGCAGCACGGGGATTAGCAGTGCGATAACGGGGAACGGTAGCACGGCGATTGGCATGCCCCTTCCTAAGCCCACATCCTGGGCAGCTATTGCCAGCAAACCGGCCAAGCCACAACCAAAAAAGGCCAAGCCTGGGGTGCCAATTGTAGGCGGAGCCTTGCCCCCGCCGCCCATCAAACACAACATGGACATCGGCACTTGGGATAACAAAGGCCCTGTGACAAAAGTTCCCCCGCCTCAGCAGCAACAGCAGCAGCAGGTCCTGTCTCCTCAATCAGCTGCCCAGCAGATGGCACAACAAATGCAACCCATTGCTATGCAGCCTCAGCACCAGGCACCCCTGCAACAATACCAGAATCTGCAGCCCCAAAACCGCTGGGTGGCTCCCCGGAACAGGAACCCAGGCTATGGCGCCCAGGGTAGCAGCACCGACAGTACCTCCTCTAGCAGTGCCTCCTTGAGCAACTCGGGCCTTGGGGCAGAATCTCACCCGGTGCTGGAGAAGCTGCGCGCGGCCCACAGCTACAACCCCAAGGACTTTGACTGGAACGTCAAAAACGCGCGGGTGTTCATCATTAAGAGCTACTCGGAGGACGACATCCACCGTTCCATCAAGTACTCTATCTGGTGCAGCACGGAGCACGGCAACAAGCGCCTGGACAGCGCCTTCCGTGCCATGAACGGCAAGGGCCCCGTCTACCTGCTGTTCAGCGTCAACGGCAGCGGACACTTCTGCGGCGTGGCCGAGATGCGTTCCCCCGTGGACTATGGGACGAGCGCCGGCGTCTGGTCTCAGGACAAATGGAAAGGCAAGTTCGACGTCAAGTGGCTCTTTGTCAAAGACGTTCCCAACAGCCAGCTCAGGCACATCCGCCTGGAAAACAACGACAACAAGCCCGTGACTAACTCTCGAGACACGCAGGAGGTGCCCCTGGAGAAGGCCAAGCAAGTGCTTAAAATTATTGCAACTTACAAGCATACCACCTCAATCTTTGATGACTTTTCACATTATGAAAAGCGACAGGAAGAGGAGGAGGTTGTTCGCAAGGTAAACGCCTTTACCGCGCTCGTTCTTTTCTGAACTGGAATCTGAGGCTGCAGCTGGAAGGAAATCAGATAGGAATTTCCGATTTGAAATTTGTAGTCTTTCCAGTCTTTTTGTTTTTAATGTTACACTTATAAATTCCATGCTGTGAGATACAATAATAGTGTTTCTTTGAAAAAGATTTCTGGGCTCCATTGCTTTCAATGAATTTTAAGCAAAAACGGGAGTCTGTGTATATTCAAGTGATTTAGAATTAAAGCAGGTGACTTATCACTTATCACTTTGATCAGTTGGTCTCTTTTGCATCCAGTTCGTGAAATGAAATATAAGTTCTACTGAAATTATTTTTTTTAACTGGGCTTTACAGTAGAACCTAATAGTGTTTGCATTTGGATTTTTTGTCGGGTACTTTACTGTTTTGAAATGCGGTGTTTTAATAATAGCGAGACATTCACTGAAATTCAAAACCGAGCCACAAACTGTTAGTTATATTGTGGGAGTCTTAAAATTAGCTATGAGTTTATAAAAGAAATTCCTAATTGTTACACAATTGATGAATGCATACTTTCCATAATTTTGAAACATCTAACTTTTACCAGCACTTAGAAGTTGCGGTAAGTAAATATATTTAATCAATTAAATGTATACCAAATTCTCATTTTGAGTAGAAATGCTTTTTTGGTTGAATTTAATCTTTTTGTAGTAGTCTTTTTAACTTGAGTAATCTGGTTATAAGCTTAGTACCTATGTTAACCTTAGTATTTTTATTTCTGTTTTATGTGTTTGTTTTAATGGCCTGCAAATACCCTTCCATTTAAAGAGAAATCAGTTTCAGGAAACTGGCCAAAAAGCAGTGTAACTGAACTTTGCACATAGATTAATATGTTATGCTCCAAAATTTATCAGTCAGATTCTGTTTGGGTTTAAGAAACCACTTGGGAAATGTTAACAATATGGAATGCTAACCCCATTTGCATCTGAATCTTTGAATGTCATTATTTACTCTAAGCCAAATGAAAAATGGACCTTTTTTGTTTATATTTTTTTTTGCATCACAAAAACAAATATGCTTTAGAAAACACCATTTAAAACAACTTTTTATGAATGTCACATTGTTGTCCGGACATTTTACTGTTGGTAATAGATTTTCTGAAACATTATATTCACAGTCACTGAGTATGTTTACTCCTTCTCTCCATTGTTAGAACTTTGAGCCCCCTCTGATCCAGAACCGATCCAGACTGGATCAGGTACAGTATTCTTTCTTACTTGTTATTTGCCTGATGGAAGAGTTGGTTTAGGAAGGCAGATACAATGGCTCGCATTACTGCCAGCATGAAATATGGGGGGAGGGCTGGAGAATGGCTCCGGGGTGAAGACACTCATGTGGGCTGAGCTCGATGGCCCAGATGAATTTGTGAGTTAGAGCCGGGATGATGTCTCACAATGAGCGGAATCCCCCGTGGAAATAGAAAATAAATAGCTGGAATTATTCAGAGAAGGCTCTGTCTCGGCCCAATGGTGAATCATGCCACTTCCTGGGCACCTGCAAGTCTGTCAGAGAGGGACATGCCACACCTCTGTTTGGTGGTAACCCTCATTTAAGGGGCAGTGGACTTGGCAGCAAGACAGAAGTGTCTGGGTGGGTGTGCCCGTCAGAGGAGCTGGTCTTGTCACATTCTCCCCATGCAGTCTGAGAGTCGTCATCGCTGTAAACCATGGTACAGATATTTGGCTCTTCCAAACTGGGCGCGTGCATAAAAGGAGAGACGGAAATTGTATGTGAATGAAATAAGATCAAACCAGATGTGACGCTGTGAACCGTTTTGGTGCCCCTGAACGGTGACATTACAGATAACCTTTGCTCAGCAATTGCCCTACCAGTTTTTGACATTTGTGTTTTTCTTATGTCTTCTTGCACGTAACGCCAATCTAGCATCAAAACAAAATAACTGGCTATTGGACTAGGTTTCTTAGACAAATGTATGCTTTAAAGTTAAGCTGTCTTCTCTGTTGATTTTCTTGTATTTGTCATTGAGGAGGTTTAACACAGTGCTGCAGGCGGTTTGAAAATGGAAAGGAGACAATCCTTTGCCATAACATTGCTGGTAACACCAAATCAAAGATCAATGCCCCTCACCTAAAAGGGGCAATTTCCACCTGCTTGAACAGCAAGCAGTTGAATAGAATTATGCAGTGTTCCACAGTGAGGAACCTTTCTAAGTCTTTTTCACTGAACTTTGTAGCAAGTCTTTTGGTAAGAATAGACCAGCACAGCCTTTGCACCATTGTACAAATTTGGGTATTGATTCATTGAGCATTAATAAGTCTTGATTAAAATTGCTAGACTTGGATTTCAAGAACCTGTTTAACATAATATACTGCAGCAGTGTATGATATATATGACCCTTTTCTCCCACATTTCCTAACCTTTTTCTTTTTTTGCTTTTTTTTGTAGGAACGCCAAAATCGAAGTAAACAGTAGAAGAATATATTCATGGCTTGATCAACGGTTTTACCAAGACTGATATTTGATTTAACAGGCAAAAATAGCCCACCTTTTCTATTTAATTCTGGTGATGTCAGGCTGCCAGCCAGCATCGAGACTTAAGCTTTCTGCTCCAATGTTACCTTCTTGTGCAGGGAAAATAAGCTGTTTTATGTATTACTAGCTACAGCCTTTGTTTTCTACCTTTCTTTAGTCAGACTGGTGACCATTTTCTTTTACCCTCTTTTAATAATATTAATTGGGGGTGAGCATCAGCAATTAAACCAGTCAGTTCCTGTCTTGTATGATCAAAACCCAAAGTGTAGTATTCTTTCATGTTCACCAAGAGCAGTGTTGTCAGAGCTGATTGCCAGATGTGCCCATGCCTAACTGAGCAGAGGTTTTTGATTTTGTTATTGCAAGAACAGAACAGGAGGGAGCAGATTAAATGCACATTTACTTTTCAGTAGTTTATATTCATATGTAATACAAGTCTGTGTATGTATGTCTTGACTTGTTACTGTGGTAACAATTTAAATCGGTTCTAAAAATATAAATGCTCTTTTTATCTTGTGAGCCTTAAAATTACTGTTTACTGACAGTGATGTCAGATGCTTAAAACAAAACAGAGTAATCTACTGTCGATAACCATACCACTATATCGGGGGGGGAAAAGGACTCATTCAAGAATCTCAGGGGCAGCACTTCTGGATCTCTGTTCTTGGGGTGAAAGACTACCACATTTTGTAAAGTTTCTTAGAATCCGAGATCCAGTGATGATAGTTTCCTGCTTTTTTTATAAATGTTGTAGCACATATTGCTCCATCTGAAGCTCTGTTGTCCATGACCTTAATCCAGTCTGAAAATGTAGCATTTACAGCTTTTTAAAAAGACGTTGCTATTTTTTTTAATTAGAATGTGATGATGGAATTGCAACATTTACATGTGAAATCATGTTTTTTTTTTTAAATCACATATACTGTCATTTCTAGTTATCTAGTTCTTTTGCTTTTAAGCTTTTTAAACTCAGTTAAATGAACTTTTCATTTGTCCTCAGAAATGCTAAGCTTTAATGTAGGAGCACATAGTGATGGATAAAGCCTCAAGTGTGTAACCTGAAATTATTGTTACTGATTTACTGTCAACACTGATGGTGAAAAAAGAAAAATATGGTTTCTGTGTGTGATTTCTTGAGAAAACGTTTTTTGTTGTTGAATGAGGGGAAACGATTTATAAAAAAGTGGTGGCTGCTGACTGGATTTCTACAGTTAAAGAAAAGTGTCTGCCCTCCTGCATGAATTATGCAAAATGATTGAAAAGGTCAAGATTACTTTCTAATATTTAAGGAAAACCAATAGTAACATTATATACAGTGTGCATAATATTGTAAAACAACTGCAGTGTAAAATGCATTGGGCACAGGAAAAATCTATTCACAGGCTTTTAATGGTAATTAAATGAATATTATTGCCTTTAAACAGTGTGTTTTAGTAGCTTTGGAATTGCCTACAAGACAAAAATCATCCTTATTTTAAGGGCAAACAACTCATTGGGAGAAACCATTGCATTTCGGGGGGGACAAGGGTCAGGTGATTGCATGAGCCATTTTAGTGTTCTGATCTGTGTAAATTAATTCATTGCTGTACAATAAACTGAAGTTGCCATTGATTAGCATGCAACTGTCAGTGCAATGTTAGCAATATGGTATTTGTACTGCATTTGTTTGATCAAGTAAAGGTTTTCCAATGCCTGATCAGCTACAGTTCACACTATTCTTACCCTTACAGAGGTTATGATGACCTTTTCAGGATAATACCTCTCCTTTCATCTTTATAAGAATTTTGGTCTCAAGTTTTTCCTCAGTGATTCACTGTGAGTTTGCCAAGAAATCATCAAGCTTCTCCATGTAGATTCTGACCTGTTCTGTGTTTTGTGCGTTTTTTAGATGAAGTTTGCCTTTTGGATTAAGTCCACAGGTGCCCTGCTTGTTGAGGTATCGTTGTACTGTTTTCTCGGGCTTGCAGTCCATATTCTCCAAAGTTATTGTTGATTCTCTCGGCCATTAGTCTTAGTTGATCTCCACCATGCGTGTCCAGGATCTTGACTACATGCTTGTTTTTAAGTCTTGTTAACAGATGCTGGAGAAATTCTATAAATACCAACTGTTTGGTGTTTGGCAGCTGCTGCCTTTGTGTGCTTTTGGCCTTCGTGATCAAACTTTACCCCTTGATTTCTAAACTTTGTGGTACCATCCTTTTTAGTCTTGGCCATTTTGAGAATAATTATGCTAGTCACAATCTTTATAGTTTGGCAGTGGCTTTGCTGGACAGTTTGAGACTTATTGGGATCATCAGAGGTGTGCTTCAATTAAAGTTAAACATTAAACCTGTCTGTTGAGGATAAATCATGAATGAATGGTTTCATCGATGCATGTTATCATTTTTGTGATGTAAGCTTACCAAACCTTGGGTTGGTATAGTTTTTATTTCCATTTAATATAAGCATGTGATTCTGAAATTGATTGCACTGGATACTCGTTATTTTGCATACTTAATGCAGGAAGGTGCTTAACTTTTGTCTGACTGTAAAAGCATGAAACAGTGCTGATGCCTGTTGCTTTAGTACTCAGAATAACATGCACGTGTTTGTTAGGAGATATTTGCTATGTTAGGAAGCCGCTAATTACGTTTTTTAAAACTATTTACAGGAAAGGACCTCAATTACAAGAATAAAATATGAACTGTCATTTAGACTTGTATTTAGATCATTTTAGTTAATGTCTGAATCTTGCCTGTAAGATAAAAACCAAACAATATTGGATTATTTTGTTTTTCCTCTTTCCTTTAGGAGAATACAAGCCTTAATAAACAACATCTATTTAGCAAGAACCATGTTAGTTGTTTTTCTCTGTCTTCTCACATTTTGAAATCCATTGTTTTCAAGGTTGGTAATTTGATGTAGGTTATCCTGTACAAAAAGTACCATGTAAATCAGATCACAGCTGTGTCAGACTCCAAAACATGGAAGTACTAACCGGGGATAATAAACTTTATTTTATATTGCGCCTTTAAAGGTGGCTTCTCAAAGCACTTTACTGAATGTCGACAAAAAATACACAAGTTTCACATGATGACAATACAGTAAGAAGAGACAGTAGATGGTGGTAGTAAATACAGTAGGAGCAGAGGGGTAAAGAACAGAACCAGTTAAGTAAAGGCTCTTCTAAAGAAGGTTTTGAGTCTGGATTTGAGTTTAGAGAAAGTGACTCTGATATTCTTGGGGAGAGAGTTCAAGAGCTTTGGGGGCATAATCGGAGAGAGCCCTGTCATCCATAGGTTGTAGACAGGCTTAGGGGGCAGATAGAAGACCAGAATTAGAAGAGTCAAGGTTGCGAGATGGGGAGAAGGGTGATAAGAGCTCAAGGAAGGTACTGGGGTGCCAAACCATGCTTAAAGGTGAGCATGAGGATTTTGGAGTGGACACAAAAAGTGACAGGAAGCCAGTGCAAGGACTCCAGGATAGGAGTAATGTGATCACTTGCAATAGACCTGGTCAGGATTCTGGCTGCTGAATTTTGGAAGTACTGGAGTTTGTTCAAGGTGGATTTAGAAACCCCAGTGAGCAGAACGTTACAGTTGTCAATCTGGGAGAAGAAAAATATGTTGATCAGCTTTTCAGCCACAGTTAGTGATAACATAGGGGGTAGTCTAACGTTATTTCTGAGGTGGAAGAAATGTTTTGACAATATGCTGCACATGTGGGTCAAATGTCAAGCCTGAATCAAATATCATCCCCCAAGTTTTTCAATTTAGACTGAAGCTCAGGTACATTACCATCCACAGATGGGGTTACAACATTGGCTTTAAGTTAATGGGAGGGTGCCAATAAGCAAGACTTCAGTTTAGATTAAGGAAACTTTGAGTCATCCATGCTTTTATGTCGGAGATGCAATTAGAAAAGAAACAGCCACATCAGTGATATAGATGTAGATTTGAGTATTGTCAGCATAGAAATGATAGTTGAGGCCATGTGATCTTAAAAGCTAACCAAGTGGAAACCTGTAAATGCTGAAAAGTAAGGGGCCTAGTATGAAGCCCTGAGGAACACCAGATAACAGCTCCGGGTTCACACAAGCATTCATTTGGCTTGGGAATATGAAAGTATTAAAAACCCTGGCACAGAGAACATGAGTAAATATTATGTACGGTTTCGAACCGATGACACTCCCATGTTTTTGTGCTAGAGTTCTCTAATTAGTCATTTAAAAATAAGCGCCATCTGATTTGACTGAATAAGCACAAAGGTGGGATTGCTTTTCATGTAATGCTGTATTTGCAAGCATATTACGAGGCATGAGTGAGGTCAGTACGTTTTCCTTGGTATGTCTGGGTTCATTCCATTTTACTCAAAATGTGTACTGAAACTCTACAGGCTGCATGCATATGCCAGTGAACAGCTTTAGTCTGGCTATGATGTGTCACTCAGGTACTGTACAACTGCATACAGTATGTTTTATTTTTAAGGTCCTGGAGTCCTCTAGTGGAAGAAACCATGAATGCAACCCTCCTCCTTAATTCAGAGATTGTTCTTCAATAATTCTAATTTAAAATGCATGTCTGTACTGCTCTTCATTTAAAGTATTCCACATAGCTTTACACATGGGGGGGCACCCCTTTCATCAGTGTGTAGTGCAGCACCCATGCGAATCAGATAAAGAAGTGAGAGATTGCTTCGTCAATTGTATAAATGGGGAATTTTAGGTAGGACAGATTGTATTATCCTAGAGTCTAACATAGCTAGGACAGGGCCAACCATGGGTTCTTTAATAATTCAGGATTGATGCAGATGAATTAGTTTCAGAGACCAGTTCTAAAACTTTTTAGTTTAATATCTTTTGAAGCATCTTGTTTTTATTACAATGTTTTCCACACAAAAAAAGGCGTTTCAGTACTTCAGGATCCCCAGTCCTTAATAGTCTTTAAACGTTCATGTTCTAGACATTGGATTGTTTTTGCATGTTTGATGTAATTATCTGTACACTCAAAAGACATACCATACAAATCATGGTTTTACAAGACCACTTGGGATCTGTTTTAACAGGTGGGTAGTTTTGTCCAGATTGCTTTCTTTTTAAGAAGTGCCTATTTTCAACCCTAAATGCAACCAGATTTGAATCCTACACTCACCACATATTTAAATATTTTATTGTCTTTTTTTATTGCTTCCCCGTCTTGTGTGGAAGCTTCATTTTTGAAAAGTCACCTCCTTTGGTAAGTTACACACAACCTTCAATTCTGAGTCGATGTTAATGCTGTCAGCATCACATATTTAAAATCCCTCATTTGTTGTGTGACTAAGTTTAAAACAAAAGTTGATAGTGTTTTCCTTACTAGAACACACTGTGGCATGTTTTTGTTTAAGATAACACTGTGAAGGTAACTTTCTTTAGCCTGGCATTCCGTTTAGAAATACGATCATATTCTGAGCTATAAACCTTTTGAGCATTCTCTTCCTGTTAATCTAGGATTCTGCCGCCAGAGGGAGCTCATGTTTTAAGATTGGTTAAAAGATTTCCGAACTCTGAAAACCACACTTTGTTTTCACCTCTGTTGTCTTCTATCTGACGTTCCACAGCGAAATCTTTTCTTCACGCGTGTGAATTTGGATTGAGACGAGTACAAGCAACACTGCCGAGATGGCAGCTGAAGAACTCTCCATGGTGCTGAACCTGGCCGCTAGCCGTGCCTATTGCGCAATTCATCTGCGCAAAACTCCCAAGGATTATATGAAGAGAACTACACTAACACAATTTATACGTAATTACTTTATGTACTGTATTTGTATGCATGTGTAGGTGGCAGCGACACTTACAACATTACATTACATGTGAATGTGTCTTTTTTTGCAGGGTAAATATAGCACTCATTGTATTTGATGCAATTATCATAAGTGCCATGGCAACACGCATTTTCTATTACACTGTACTAGGAAACAAATGTCCTATAGCTTTTTTTCCCCCCAAAATTGATCAGATATCCTGCTTTCTTCAGTTGGGAATATTTTACGGCTTTTACCGGCTGATCTTTTTAACAGTTACTGGATTTGAATTTTTATCATGTAAAAGGTATTGCGTGGTCTAACCATGTTTTTGCTATTTCGAACGGTACCACTTTAAAAAGGCTGCTGCCACGTTAATTACTACCACGTGCATGGCACGTGTGCTCGGTGCACTCTGGCTTTTGGCTTCCTTAAAGGGCTGAACAACGTGAAAGGTATTTTTTAAAAGCAAGTTTACGCAATTAAGCGTTTCCGTTTAATAAGCGCGAAACCTATGCTCTGTCTTATTCATATGGTTAAAAAGAGAAATGATTCTTAGAACCTAGTAACTAAGAGGTTGGTTTGAGGGTTTCGCTGGCTTGGTTTGTTCGCTCCTCGTGTTAACATGTCACGCTTTCTAATCCAGCTTCGCCGGGAGATTGAAGTGGGGGATACAGCAGGCAAAACAGATTCACGTTTAGGCCCAGTGCAGTACTTTTCAATTGAAGGTGCATTGCATAAAATCAAATTAATAAAACGACGATTCTGCTTGCCTTTGAGACAAAAGGTACAGCATGATCGAATTTAAAAAGAGTTATTGTTCCTTCTTTATTCTCCTTCAGTTCGCCAGGGAGATATAACGTTGTGACCATCGGTTTTGTCCTTTGTTAAGATATTGGTCTTGAGTGTGGTTCAGATTAGAAAGTGAGGTTTATTTTAAAACAGCAATTACGTTATAAACATCATTACGTAATAGAGCTACCGCCGGTTTTGTTCACCCATAGTGCAGTCCTGTAAGCGTTACAGTATCATCTGTGGGTTTTTTACATTTTATGTCCTTCTCAAATGACGAGATTTATCGGGTTTACATTCACGGAGTACAGCTACCTGTTAGCCAACGCGTAACAGGGAACCAATTTAGAAAGAAACTATCTTAGATGTGTAGTATATAGTAATGTGGCACATTTTCTAATCGTTTATAACCAATCCGTTCTCATAAAATATGGATGAAATAGAGAGTGATAACAAGCATTTTTTTAATGACAGATTCGTGTCAGAATTGTGTTATGTCTTAGAATTACGGCTTTCTCTGTAGTTTGCTCCCTGATGGTATTTCAGATGCTGGTAAGGTCAGGCCACCCAAGCAATCCATTGAGAATGTCTTTGGAGAATTTACCTGTCTGTAGTGAGGGTGAGCGCTGTCTTTACCTCCGTAGTACTGTCGAGGCGCTCAGTGAGCGTTTCCGCTTGACTTCAGATGTTCCTGAAACTGATGTTTTGTTAATTTGTCAATCGAACCAAAGGACTACCGGAACCTAGAAGTACTCCAAGGTGGACAAATGGTGGAGCTGCGAGGCTGTAATTCACTTAGCCAGCAGCCCTTGCATCGCTGGAAGGTAGTTTCTGTGATGCTCATCCTATTAGGTCAGCCGCGTCCACATCTCCTGGACTTTGAAGTTTGCGCTGATGCAGCATGACAGGGCACGGCATGTTCCACACTGAGCCACCAGAGAATAAGGAGCTTTGGTAGTCGGTGTAAGGAGGTTAATCTATCGAGGACAAATAATGTCTTGAGCCTCCTTTTTAAACAGGCACCAGCTAGTCAGTATCATTTCGGCACCTTGCTGGTAAGCCAGTACCTTTATTTGTGCCCCCTCACACGACATCTAAGAAACTTTACGACTAACGCAGCTCAGATGAGGCCTGCGTGCTAAACACGCCGGAGAAGGCCGTCCTGAGGCTTGCCGTTTTAAATTTCAGTTCGGCGTCATCGTGGACCTCGTTAGCCTTCATCGAATCCAGAATTTAATTCACTTATCTCTCTCTAATTGTTTAATTTGTTCATAAAAGT